CCGGTCCCATGTCCTCGGCTCGACGACCAAGGATGGGGGCGGGGAAAAAAAAAAAAAAGGAAAAGAGAAAAAAAAAAGTGACAGAAAGATAACGAGGGGCAGTCTGAGGAAGATTAAACGAGCCCGGCTGGCTAGTCAGTCCATACATGAGCGACGGACGTGGCTCCGGGCTGCCCTCCTTTGCGTGTGTCGCCCTTGTTCTCTCGCGTGTGGAGAAGAGACCCTTGTCTTTTCTTTTTCGTGATGTGACTTGAACTGATTGATTGATTGCCAAGAGAGAGAAAAAGAGAGAGATGTCGCAGCTGAAAAAGCTTCGCTTGAAAGAGAAAGGGGAAAACATGGACAAGCCCGGTTGGTGGTTCGGTCTCGTATGAGTAGGTTATGTAGCTCGTATGAGTAGGTTATGTAGACATAATGTATGTGAAGAGGGCTAATTATGTACCAAGAAATCGTACAATGTTCATTTGGTGCCGTACGGGACCAAGTTTCCCTCCCTGCGCATCTGCCACAGAGACGCTGGCTCAACAACCCGGCAGGGGAGTTTCAAGTGGCGGATGGCATCGCCAACGCAGTTCACCTCGCTCCCAATCCGCTCCTGGTATATCTCAATCTCCCGCCAGGATCGTGTCAGGGCCACGGAATTCCACGTCTCAACCACCTTGGGGCTCATCTCCAGATCCCACGTCCCGCGCCAGGTAATGGACGCTTTGCTCCCCTTGACGCGATAGATGAAGGCGCAGGCATCGCCCTTTGCGCCGTTCCAGAGCACAAACGTGTCCAGCTCCGGCATGCGCTTCGCTATAGCCGCAGCCCTGCATAGCAAGTCCTTGATCCTGCCTTGGCTGTCCGGGTTCAGGTTCGCGTCCTCTTTCAGGAGCTGCGAGGTGAGCGCCACGGTCTTGAGCTGCGGCCACGTATAGGCCGGCTTGCAGTGGCGGAGGACATCCTTGGCGTCGACCATGAATGAAACGGCGAGGTGCTTCAGGCCGAGGCTCTTCCTGGCGAAGGTGTCGCCCAGGGCGTCTCCAATGGCGACGGAGTTGATGGTAGGGGGCGTGGGACCCCCGTTCTGCTGCCGTTGCTGGAAGACTTTGTAGAATTTGCGGGAGTCTTGGAATACTACCAGGCTGGTGACACATTTGGAAAGCTTTTGTAGCATTGCATGACGGAGAGCTAATCATCAGAAGAATGTTAGAAGTGATTTCAAGACGGACAGACCATGATATGGCAGTTCAAAGGACAAAGACACACATACCTTTCACATAGTCTCGTCTCCTGTCTACACTTGCACTATCATGCAACGTCCATGGCTCATAGCTCATGTGCTCCAGGAAAGGCAGCGCCTCGAGCATGGCACTTATCCCAGCCGGCGAAAGACACCTTCGAAGCTGTCGACGAATGACAAACTTCGTCGCGCAGACAACCTTGGGAAGCGGCTCGCGCTCGAAGCTCGTGTCCAGCTTGATAGGCCGAAACATTCGACGCACGGCCTCCTCCGGCGCATACCTGACTTGCTTGCCGTTGACCCAGCCATGGTTAAGGTCGGTGACCATTTTACCGTCTCCCTCGGTGCGGTCGTCGGAAAAGTACAGCGGCTGGAACCAGTGCTCGGAGTCGCTGGGTGAGAGGACGTTGAGTTCCAGCGTCAAGCTGCCCTTGTCCCAGGTGCTGAGGGTGGTAAAGAGCTTCATGATGGCCTCCTTGACGATTTTACTGATGTTGGATGGTGGAGGGTTCCATCTCGCACAGCAGGCGGATTGGTCTCTGGGGAGGTCGATCTCGAAGAAGATGTGCTTGACCAAGTGTCTTTTGTGGCGTGGGACCATGACGTTCAATTCGTCGAGATCGGAGACTTCCAGCTTCAGCTTCTTGTAGTTTTCTTTTTCAATCACGTCTTGCCATTCTCTGTTGATCGTGGCACAGGATTCCCAGCCTGGAAATTTTTGGTGGGCGACCTTTTCCATGATCATGAGGCGGAGTTCAGGGGGGAGATACATCCATGATGATCTCGATTGGCTGGGAGACTCTACGGGGTATCCACCGGAGCAAGGAAGAAAGCCAGACATCTTGAAGATAAGTCTTGATATAAGGTCCTTGTTGAAATTGGTGTATTGGTATAATGGTATATAGATAGCTGCTCTTGGGCGAGTTGCTTGGATCGGTATATCGGCGGATTGGGGAGGTTTGGATCTGAGTGCTTGGATCTGAGTGCTTGGAGCTGAGTGCTTGGAAGTGCTTGACGAATTGAACGGTGGAAAATGGGCAATGGCAGACATATGGGGGGGTGCTGGGTTTTATAACCGGCATACAAAAGCCTCTATCTCATTGTTTACATTGGAGAGTTTTGTAAACATTCAGAGAGTTTGGGCAGAGATACTGTTGGCTTGACAATGGGAGTCATATGGAACATTCACACTGTCGATATCTGTAGTTTAATGCCCAGTGGCTGAAGATATGGAGAAGAGATGGGCAATGGCTGAGACTATCGCGGGATTCAGGAGAACTCTCTGGCTGGCTGGGCTTTAAACACGAACAATACATGTGTATGTATAGATAGATTCGCCTGGAGAAAGATAAGGAGTGAGGGGGTTTACGATGTGATACGGAAGAAACAATCACGACCTGGCTAGATACATCACAAGGGGGGGTTGGCGAGAACCACAAGAAAACGCACCCTTTCGAACCCAGACCATACTTCACAATACCGGTAGACTTGATTCTGATGAGCCATTGAACGAAAGATCTCGATCAAAATCCATTCTTCGACTCGAATATTTACGTATCTACATATCCAAAACAACAACTCCCTCATAACCAAACCCAAGGAAAAGGTCAACAAAAGCCATTACGGAGTAAACAGAAAAGTAAACAAGCCACACCAGACAAGAATAAACAATTAAAAAACACTCCGAGGTTTCCTTTTCTTTCTATTTTCTTCTTCCCTCAGCCTCCCCAGATATCCTCCTTGAAAGCCACCGGTTAGAATAACACCAAGCAACACATACCGTCGATACCCCCGTGCGAATTGCAAAATCATAACATGGTATATACGGTGTTATAGAACTGCCAAGGTTACGGCACGTTCTCTTCCGGTCCCCTTCCGTCTCTTTTTTCTTTTTTCCTTTCCTTTCTTTTTGTTTGCTCAAACCGGGGTCATGGGTTGGGACTAAAGAAAGACCCTGACCCCATGAAATGCGAAAAGAAAAGAGAAGAAAAAAAGAAAAGGGATTTGTCTACTAAAATGACATGGGTATCGGAACATCAAGCCACCAAGTGATTCTGGACTAATAATCAAGAAGAAGGAATACGTCTCAGATTGTCAATACTGAAAAGGGGCATCAAAGACTCGACTAATACATTCGACTAAATAGACAACAGCACTTCCTATACGTAGAATCATATCACGAGTGAGTCTACCGAGACAAACATTGTCCCTCAACCAATTCTATTTTCAGGACGGATTATTTCCTCCTAGTGGCTCCCAAACCGCAGCTAAACTGAGACACCTGCAGGGGGCCTGCATCTAACCAATTGGCTCTTATTTGCAGCTTTACGGCCGCTTGAATGCATGCATTAGACTGTCTCTCGAGAATCGTGGAGATGCAGCTTCTGCTTCCGCCATCGTAGCCTCCAATGATAACCCCTGGTCAGACATGCTTCGGATTGACAACACGGCAAGGTACAGCACAAGTTCTTGGGCATCAAGGATCGTACACATTATTTTTGGTCCCCTAGCATCGGAGAGCGCTAACAACAACAGCTTTGCTAATTACGTAGAGGTTTTTCCCATGTAGCCCAAAGCCAAACCATGTCTGCGCGTATCCGACGCGGTCCAAAATGGATATGTAGGTTCCCCTTTGTAGTCCTCCAAGTGCATCCTACCAAACGCCAAGCTGCTGAAAGAAGGAATCTTACAGTGAGAAATGGTATCTCGCCAGAGCTGGGCTCAGTAAGAATAAAACATTGCTGAAATAGAAACCCGAATCGAGGACTTGGGTAAAATGGATAATAAACGATTCGAAAAAACGTAGTCATCATCATTGCCGAGGCAGGCGTGGCAGAAAAGAGGCCGGCAGAGGATCTGGTATTGACATAGCCTTGCGAAACGGGGGGAGGAAGAATAAAAAAAGTCATGAGCTATCGTCTCTCTCGTGTTGGATCTTAGCCTGCGTCGAGACGTCATAGGCCTCGGAAAAGCTCGAGAGAGATGCTGGAGGATGGAATATCACCAATGCATGTCCGGATTCCTAACTCGACGGCATGCCGGTATTGGGCTCTTCCTTGGGAGCGGCTGGGGGCTCCAGACCAGCCTGCTGTGCAACGCGCTTCCACGTCTCCAGTTCTCGGTACAGCCGCTCACACTCCTGCTTAAGCTTGTCGTTGGATGCACTAAGCTCTGTTATGGCTTGCTCTGTGAGCAGCTTTTCCAACGTCCACTTTTCAATGTTTTGCTGCTCGTTCTCTTTGAGCTGGGTGATGAAACTAACAGCCCGCTGCAAAATCGATCCCTTGTTCTTCTCGCAGCCCGGGACAATCTTGGCCAGCTCGTTAATGCCTTCGTTGATAGTCTCGCGGCGTCGGCGCTCCACTGTATCCGTGTCAATGCCTTGTATTTCTTCTGTAGATCCAGAGGTTGTATTATCTTACCTTCTTTGTGATTATCCTTCCGCATCTTGTGCCACTCTTCTGAACCAACACTCGGCTTCGGGTTGGGGGGAGGCGGTGGCACTGCGTATCTGTGCTGTGGTGGAGGAGGGTGAGATTGAACGCCGTTCGGGGGAGGAGGAGGCTGGTTTTGGTTGACCGTAGGGTCCATCATGGGGTCGGGCTGTTGTGTCACGTCTGTGAAAGGGGTATCGTGCTTGAATGCATTTTCGTGGCCGTGGTCAGGATCAACAGGTCCCTGTGCAGAAAACTGCTCCTCGGTTGATGAAGGGACATGGAGGGTCGGGTACATGCCCAGAGCAGCCTGCGCAGTGCTGGTAGCATTGGAAGGGTCCGAGGCATCGGTGTGATCTGCAGCGGCAGCTTGCTGGAGGGCGTTGAAATCGGCAACATTAACACCGCTCACAGCCGCCGCTTGCGAGGCCTCAATGGCATTCTCGATGAAGGCGGCCGTGTCCGCCGGCGACGCTGACATGGCTGCTGGAGGAGCGGCACGCTTTGTGCGCCCGAGATTGGGACTTTCTAATTCGCGCTTTCGTTTCTGGCCAGGAGAGCCAGGAAAGCCAGATAGATCGGGGTGTTCAGAGACAAGTGTATCGGCCATCATCTAGCTCTTGAGAAGGGGGAGAGACCAGCGGTGGCAAGCCGGGATGCAGTCGACCAGTTGAAGGTTTGCACGCTTGGCGGTTTGGCCAGACAGATGAATTTTATAGTAGATTGTTGAAAAGTCAACAGTCAGCTGAAGTGCATGTGGTTGGACAGTCTTGAGCCTATGACTCTGGTTAGACGACGACACTAGAATGCGATGCCTGCAAGGATTTATTAAGGAAGCGCGAAAAAAGAGAGGTTTCAGCTTGGCACTTTTGGTCCATGCCAAACGCGGGAACTCATATCACTCGACAACAATGGCGGCAAGGGAATGCAAGGCTGAGGTAGAGATGAGCAAGGGGTGTGTGCTTGCAGCACAGTGCCTGGTCACGGACGAAGATGGGCAATGCGAAGCTGCAAGAAGCTGCAAGAAGCGCACATTCGCTCGACTTGAGCCGAGCCTGACGTCGTGCACGATCCTAATGCAACTGCCGCCGGTGGTCTGAGACAGCGGGAGGACACCGGCGGATGATTGCGGTGCTTCTCATTCATCGCGGCTCACTTGAGCTCACGGCGACAGTGAACGGCTTGCGGCCGCATCATCACCATCGCAAAGCTTCCAGCAGGCAAAGGCATACATCCGTCCACCTGATGCAGGCGATGCGGTGATTCAGCCATGACAGCATCAAGCAAAAGCTGGGATGCAAGAGGCACCATTGATACAATGCGTATCGCGGCGGATGTGACGAAGCTTCAGATGCGAGGTGGTGCGCTGACCAGCGACGATGCTACGGCTTTAGGAGTGCAGAGAGGAGCAAAAAGAAAAACAAAAAAAAAACTCGTCGCAAGGCATCTCCCGTTGCTGCTGCATGGTGGCCCAAAAATGCGCAGCTCGGCCATCTTGAAGCCATCGTGATGAACGAACGGGTAAGGGAAGTGCATAGTAGGGACATACCGTGACGATCATGTGCTCTGGAGCCAGATCACGGGTTTGGTCGTCTCACGTGTTTTGCGTGATCAATCTCGTGATATCGCGCGACGGGGTCCGAGTCGAGTGTAAGTCAAAGCTGCAACAGCTTCAAGTGAAAAAAAAAGCACCAGAGGGCATTAAAAAGCTGAGAAAAAAAAGTGCACGAAGAAAGCGAGTGTCGCGACGGCTGTGGTCAAGGGCCTCTTGTGACAACTCTTATGCTTACAAGGCGTATTTTTGCTCCTTGGAGAGACCAGATGCGTCTACGTTGCAGAGAGAGACGGAGGAGAGGCGCTGAGGGACAAGGTCGGGTCACGCGGCGGCAGAAGGGAGGCAACACGTGCAATCTGGCGGGAGGCGATAGTGATGAAATACTGGCGATGCCTTGCCCGCGGCTCGGCGCTAGGCCGCATTGGGGCTGCAGATTGCGGCCTGAGGCTGAAACCCGGGACTCTCGTCTGGGCGGTTGGAGCCTTTGGAGGGGGGGGAAGCAGCAAGTACAAGCAGCAAGTACCGGATACATGCACTTGGCGGTGCTTGGACAGGCACCGAGGGCAGATTCTGGCCTGGCAGGTATCTGGTAGGGACCTGGTAGGGGACAGCTGCGCCGGGCCCGCGGCCAATCAGCACGCGCGACAGGGCACGTAGGCGCAGCGAATGGGGAGAAGCGCCGGCGCCTGTGGGAGCGCATGGGTGCTGGAAGGGCTGGAGATTGGGTGGAGGCGGAAAAGGCAACCGGCGCATGATACAAGAGGCAGACCTGGTGTTGTTCTGTTGGGTCTTGCAACTGTTCAGTATTGGTACTTTGGGCGAGGATGGAGAAATGACACAGCTGGAAGTACAGTTGCCGAGTACGAGGTACCGACAGAGTACTGGCTACGTACATGTACTCGTACGTGGTTCGCGGCGGCGGGCTGAAGCATGCGGAATTTGCTGCCACTGAACCTCGACGGAAGCTGCTCCGTGGCGTACCTGGCACCTCGCCGTACACGAACGGGACCAGGCGATAAGAGGCAGCGCTCGTACCCCGTACCTTGCACAGCAACCTGGAAGCTGCAAGCAAGAAGCAAGCATCACTGGTCCCTCTCCACTTTGGCTGTCCGCGTCTTCCCTCCCACGGTGGGGCCCAGCAACACCATCAGACAATACCACGTCCGGCTGAGGCCCCTCCCGCACCGCGCAAGTATCACCTGCTAGGGTTGCTTGCGACCTTGCTGAGTCTCAGTCTGATGATGAAGGTCTGGCACAGTATTTATTTGACCAAGTATGTGAGCAACTCGCAAATCCATTCACCGCATCGTCCTGCTGCTCTTCACCGGCCCAAAAGCGCCGGCGCCTCGACAGACGCCTCGAGTCTGCAGTCACCTGAGGCCACAGCGAATCACTTGACTCCCTAGTGCACGGGTGAGACACTCACTCATGCGGCCCCCAAATGCTGAGCTGACGGTTCGTCTGAATGCCATTGCCATCAGCTTGAATCGCATGAGAGAGGACGATGTAAGAGGAAGATGTTTTGTTATTCACACTCTTGACGTCAACTTTTCAGCTCGAGTGGTCGCCTTAAACATTCCTAAGGTGCTGATAGAGCTACCAACGCTTCCGTCTTCTGGTGTATAGCATACGGCCATCATCCATCCCACCCTCCAGATTCACACTCATGCTGATCATGTAATATATGTAAACTCACACTAAGACGGACAGAGGGGGGTGCTCACCTAATAGTTGGCATGCCCAGTGACTCGACATCTTAAGAGTGTTTTCCTTAGTGTCATGTAGGCAACAGAAAGCTAAATGAAGTGTATTGATCCTTCATTCAATTGAGTAATGGTAATATGTATGCTTGGCCAGCTTCACGCTCACCGGGATGGCGTTACGCTACCTCAGCATCTCAGGACGGCTACACAAAGCTGCAGGAAGTCATCGGTCATTCTTGAGGTATTTGTCGATACTGGAACAAGGTAACATGAGTAACAGAAACTACTTTTTCATGAATATCCCAGCCGAGAGTAGATATGATACGCGTAAATCTCGACGGTTCAGCGGATGATGCAGGTGAATCCAGTCGAAAACGTCCATGCATAGAACCATTCCCCCCATGATCATCTTGGTGACCCGTTGGCTGATCAGCTCTAAATCGGATAGGCTTGCACATACCCACACACATGCATGCTTTACTTGCAAATATATGGAATATCTATATCTTGAAGTAGCTGAGAGCAGCATTAAGAGATAATAGCTGGTAGTAGCAAAATGAAGAGATAGTAATTGGTAGTAGCCTGACATAGCAACTAGCAAATTATGATGCAGAGTACAACCCATTCGACTACCTGTCTTGCCAGAGATGCATTCTATGTTCAAACCACCGACCAGCTTGGGTCAACCAGTTGACATCACACGACGCCAAATATTATGTGAGCCGCGCTATTCGTTGTAGTCGGTTTTCCATTCGTATTCTGAGAAAGTCACTTCTTCAAATCCCAACCTGGACAGTGTTATGCATGTTCTGTGAATGACCAGCTTTGTCAGCCTCCAGGCTGTTTAGCTTGTCGACCCCATTTACGAGGGAACGACATCAACCTGGAACCTCAAATTCGATCAATTTATCTTCTGGTGTCGTTTCTATGGCCATCTTCCGTAGGTTTCTAATCTCCTCAGTCTTCTTCCGAATCTTTTCTAGTTCCAATACCAGGGCTTCTGTAAAACGCTCAAAATGCGATACCAGGACGAGAACAGTGTTTTCACTTCCCTAACATCGTATCAATCGTATAACTGCTGGCTGACTGAAAGGATGACCTGAATTATAGACCAATCATTAAGAGAAATAGTAGTATCTTTCTAGTATTCTCCCAAGTGGAAAGGGGTGGCTAATAATTAACTGAGTGATGCATCATTTTCCTATGGGCTTTTATAAGATGCTCTGAATACATCTGCCGACTCTAAAACTACTCAAACCAAACAAAGTACATTCTATTGTTCTCATTCAGATGCTGCTGTAGAGATATTAATACATATTGCCGTCGCGGGAGTAAAGTGCAGTAACAATACCGAACCCGATGGCGATTGGACGTATAATGGCAGACCCTAAGTTCATGCATGGAGTAGTGTAATATTATAAACAAGAGAAGATTGGGACATTTGGTGATCATTGTATACTGTGGCTGCACATCGTTTTATATAGCAAGAGGAGCTGTAGGAGGCAGAAGAGAGTCCTATCTAGCACGACTTCACGGCGATGTTGCCAGAACCGGCATTTCAGAGTACTGATACATGCACACTACGGAGGAAAGCTGTATAAATTGCACAGGATGCTAAAGGATTGATGCCAGAGGAGGGGAATAATTGTAATTGGAGGTTGACGATAAAGCAATTGCATGCGCGTAAGCTTGTATTTGCCGACTGAGAGCAAACAATTGGCTGAAGATAAAAGTACATAATCCAATAAGTTATTCCCACCTCTCAGCCTCATATACGAGAAATGGCTGAAATTGATAAGAACTGCAGATTCATCCTTTGGGAACAGTCCAGGTATAAATACTTCTTTACGGGCGATGAATACAATTGAGAGACGAAATGTAGGCGTTGAACGCAAAAGTTAGCGGTCGCTTTACCCGTTTTACCCCGCTGAAGAGTCGCCAATCCCAACCTCAAGGCGTCTCACTAGCCATTCGCGGCGTACATGTACAAGCCAGGCAACTGATGTCATACGACTCACATCAAGCAGTGCATCCTTCAATTGAAACTTCCCTGCAAGGCTTCCTTGTTGCGCGTCACCTTTTTATCTCAACCCTTTGATATTCATCAATCAGGGCTTTTCATCATCCTCTCATGATGCTTCCAGCCAATGGATCTACAAAAAGCATTAACCTCTTCTAAAGAGATGGATTGCCCTCCTGGCAGCGAGCAATACTTTGGACCCCAGGTCGACCCTCGATGTAGACCATTTGATTTCACTTTGCTGTTTGAAGACATCTTTTTTGTTGCTGTGCCGGCTGTCGTGTTTCTCATTCTCGCGCCTATACAGATATGGGGCCTCTTCAGGAGACGAGCTGCGTTTTCCGTGAGGTCAAGGGCCATCCGGCGATGGAAAGCGGTTTGTCTCCCGTCGATAAACACAACCGATGTACTTACACATTCTATACAGGTAGCTTTTACCGCGATCCTTGCTGTGCAAGTCGTAAACCTTGTGTTTAGAGCTCAATATGTCGAGTTGCGAACTAAGTTATCTCTTCCGGCGGATATCTTGAGCTCTACGGCTACCGTAGCCGCATTCTTCCTATCTAGAGCAAGCCATGGGCGATCACTTCGGCCGTCAACAGTCCTTGATTTGTATTTATCTTTATCAAGCCTCTTGAATATTGCTCGAACAAGGACCTTGTGGCTACTGGCAGCTGGCAGCCCTGTCCCGATTCTCATGACGGTGAATCTCTCTCTCACTCTATTTGCCCTCCTATTGGAGTCCATTGAAGAGAGAAAGCGTCTTTCGAATGGTTCGCCGGAAGAGTTTAGCGGGATCTGGGCCAGAATCGGTTTTTCCTGGCTTCTGCCCTTGCTCAAAACAGGCTATGACAAAGTTCTTTCTCAGGACGATTTGCCTAATCTTGACACTAGGCTTCAAAGCAGGGTACTGCGTCGCCAGCTGATCACGACTTGGTCTAAATGTGAGAACAGATGCATACAAATCTTTGATATGTCCATGACTTTGTCTAAATGCTAATAGAACCATTCTCCAGATGATCCAAAAGCTCGACATAGTCTGGTGAAAGCATGTTTTCGGACCCATCTTTCGACCTTACCTTCAGCTGTGATCCCCAGATTGTGTGTCACTGCATTCACTTTTGCTCAACCATTTCTAGTCGAGACCACAATTGGATTCGTTGGCGATGAGAACGCCAAGCCATATCACGGGAGAGGGCTCATTGGCGCATGGGCTCTTGTGTATTTGGGTATTGCCGTAAGTAAAGCTTTGTTTTAATAAACTCATATATGCTAATGATCACGATACAGTTATCAAGATCTCTATACAAATATGAAACCTCTAGATTCATCGCGAAGCTGAGAGGGGGGCTAATTGCTCTTGTATATCAACGAAGCCTGAATATCCGCACCGCCGACGAGGGAGATATATCTGCCGTCACTCTAATGGGCACCGATATTGAACGCATAGCGAGTGCGATGCAGCTGCTCCACGAAACTTGGGGCTCTCTTCTGGAAATATCAATTGCATGTTGGCTGCTAGAGCGGCAGCTTTTCCTGGCTTGTCTCGCCCCAATTGCTCTCGTATTAGGTGAACCTCGCGCGTACCCGTCAAGATTCGGTGCTCTCTCCATGCTAATGTCAGCACCATAGTATTCATTGGCATTACATCGCAAATATCGGTAGCTACCCAGAATGCACAAGTTGCATGGATAGAAAAGGTCCAAGAAAGGCTGCGTGCGACCACGTCTCTGCTCGGGGACATAAAGGCTATCAAGATGCTTGCGTTACCGCAAGTTGTATCGAGGCTGTTGACGAATCTCCGAACCAACGAAATCAAGACGTCGAAAACATTTAGGGAGTTGCTCGTTGCCACATTAATGCTCTGTATATCTTCCAAAGCTATGGATGTACCCTCAAGCACTGTTGCTAACAAACAACATAGCCCTCACACCCTTGAATCTCGCCCCTGCCGCGACATTTGGCGTCTACGTTGTCATATCCGTCTACTGGACACACGGATCTTTATTGACGACCCAAGCCTTTACTTCTTTGGCTCTGATAGGTCTATTGACAGGTCCTGTCATAGGTTTCATCCAATCCTTGCCCCAGGTTCTGCAATGTGTGGGCTGCTTTGATCGTATCCAGCAATACTGTAATTACGCAGATGTTGACCTCAAAGACGAAAACTATTATGAGCCAGGCCACGTCGATCTACGCGATGAATCCGAAATTTACCTCCTGGCACCTGATAGTCCTCCCGAGCACTTTGATGCTCCGCATGGCGACACCATTTCTCTACACAGTCAAGGCTTTAAATGGAGCAAAAACGGCCCTGCGATACTCAAAGACCTGGAGCTTGATATCAGTCAAGAGGCCATTACTGCGATTACTGGCCCAGTAGGGAGCGGTAAGTCGTCATTGATGAGTTGCATTTTGGGTGAAATGATCGACATTTCTTCCCAAGAGGGTCAACCAAAAATATCTCGGCAATACTGTAAACATGTAGCATACTGCTCCCAGCAGCCATGGCTTGAAAACACAACCATTCGTAACAATATCCTTAGCTCATCGCCTTACGAGAGGAAATGGTATGATGAGGTCGTTTCTTCTTGTGGCCTCAATGCCGATCTCAATCGTTTCAAAAAGGGAGATAAAACGAACATTGGCAGTAGAGGTCTCAACCTCAGTGGTGGACAAAAGCAACGCATAGTCCGTCATACCCTTTTCTCCACCAAATTTTCTTGAACAACACTAACATAAGATATTTGCTAGGCCCTAGCTCGAGCCGTATACGCAAAGAAACCGATAGTACTTCTCGACGATGTATTCAGCAGCATGGATGCTCATACTATTGACGTTGTCTCTTCCCGCTTGTTCGGTCGTGTAGGCCTTCTTCGCAGGCAGCGAGCGACTGTCATATTGAGTACTCACCACCGTATGTTACGTTATATCCTCAGTTGATCTCTCAAATCACTCACAAGGCCACCAGGTAAACTCATGGCGCTTTCGGATAGCATCATCGTCTTAGAAAATGGGAAAGTAGCGGCGAAGGATACACCCGCTTCCTTGCTTCAGAGCAACGGCTACGTCAATAAACTTGGCATACAGCTTACAACTAATGAAGATGTCACTGAAGCTGCTGAGCCTTCAAAATTGCCGACAGCAGAGGAAGTTTTCGATATTGCCGCGGACGTCGCCATCAACATCTCTGAAGAGACGGATGGTAAGCATGTTGATATTCGGCGCAAAAGAGGCGAGCTCTCCGTTTATGCATATTACCTTGCCAGCTCTGGCTGGTACTTTGTTGTCTTGTATAGTGCTGCAGTTACAGGATGGATCTTTTGCATCGAATTTTCGAGTAAGTGGCTCAAGACCTATTCTCTCGTTCATTGACATGAAAGTAACCATACCCTAGATGTGTGGATGAAGTGGTGGTCTGCTGCCAATGCCTCAGAGCCAGACAAGGATATCTGGATGTACCTTGGCATTTACGCCCTTCTAGGTATTCTCGGCACGTTAAGTGGCTGTATATGCGCTTGGTAAGACGCATTTCCTCTAGTACTATCGGTAACAGTACTCACTCATATTCGCAGGGCGGCTTTTATTTACATCATCTCGCGGTCGGCTGCTCAACTTCACTCGAATCTCCTGCAAGCAACGCTCAGGTAGGTAAACGAGCATAAAAGATGCCAGTTACGGTGCATTAACGAATGGTTTAATTAGAGCACCGTTCTATTCTCGGTCAACAAGAGACCTTGGAGAGCTCCTTAATCGGTAAGCCTTTAACACGTCTTTTGCTCAGCCTTCCCAGTACTAACCTCGTTCCATCAGATTTAGCAGAGATATGGAGCTCATCGACATGGAGCTTCCTAGTAACATGGTCAACTACACCTCCAGTGAGTTCAACCTCCAACTTTTGAAGGGCTGAAGCTAACATGTTGTTTCAGCCGTCGTCTTATGTATAGCCAAAGTCGTCATTATCGCCATTTTTACTCGATATCTGGGAGTGACAATCCCTTTCTTCGCCGTCTATGTCTATTTCCTCCAGAGTTTCTATCTGCAAACGTCTCGCCAAATCCGACTACTTGCCATTGAAGCCCATGCTCCTCTATTTACTCATTTTAGTGAATCAATCGCAGGAGCAGTAACCATCCGGGCGTTTGGATGGCAATCATACCACCAAGAGCGCAACTATCGTCTCATTGATGCTTCACAGAGACCTGTCTATCTACAGAGTTGCATTCAGCATTGGCTCAGTTTTGTGCTTGAGATGGTGACTACAGTATTGGCATTTCTTCTTGTCTCTACAGTCCTTATCTGGAAAGACAGGTTTAGCCCTGGAAGTGTTGGTGTGAGTCTTGTCACTGTTATTGGATTCAATGAAGTGCTGGTGCGACTTGTTCAAACCTGGACGACTTTGGAACCAAGTATTGGTGCAGTGTCAAGAGTCAAACGCTTCTCGGAGGAGACGGAGACTGAGGAGCGGAAAGAAAAAGGAGCATACGTACCAGCTACGTGGCCACATGCTGGCGCTGTTGAATTTGCAGGCTGGACCACGTCTTATAGGTTAGTATCACTCCCTAATATCATCTTGAAAATATTCCCAATTAATTCGTATCCGCAGTACCATGGCAGACTCCAAGCCAGTACTAAACGGCGTGTCATTGTCGATCGAAGCTGGGCAACATGTTGCAATATGCGGTCGAACCGGCAGCGGCAAAACCTCTCTAATACTTTCCCTATTACAGATGACTGAGATTGTCGAAGGCAGCATCTCGATAGATGACGTAGATCTTTCGACTCTCACCTGCGCAGAAGTACGCTCACGTATTAACGTAGTGCCTCAAGATCCCTTTCTAATGCCAGGCACCATCCGCTTCAACGTTGATCCCTTCAATGGTGCTTCAGATGAGGACATTATTCGCGCGCTTGAGCAAGTGCGACTACGGACCATCATTGACGAACAGGGGGGGATAGACAAGGAGATTGATTTGTCGTCCTGGTCTTCTGGGCAGAAGCAGCTTCTTTGTTTCGCCAGGGCGATGTTGAAGAAGAGCAGGATTCTTATCTTGGATGAAGCAATGAGCAGGTAAATATCTACAAATTTACAACCCCTCTAACCAATTTCTTCGTTTACTTTCGCTAACACTATGCTTGTTATAGCGTCGATCATGACACAGAGACTATCATGCAGGAAATCATTGACACGCAATTCAAGGAATGCACAGTCCTCGCGGTGATGCATCGCCTAGAGCATATTCGCCGCTACGACAAGGCCGCCGTATTTGGAGATGGCAAGCTGTTGGAATTTGATGCCCCTGAGGCGCTTTTGTCTGGGGACACGAACCTTGCAAGGCTTTATTCTTTCTATCAGAGCTGATGACTGCAATTGCATTACCAGAATAAAATTGTAATTATTTCTCAATTCACTTCACAGGGTAACATTTGTTGTTTGAATCCCGTCGATCCCGCAAAGCCTCCAATAACCGTGTTGCCCCCACTTCATTGCGGTGCGATCACGGAGCGCCTCCGAATTTTGACTCTGTCTAGATGAAAAAAGAGAAGAGAACGAAAAGTCAATGGATAATTTGCTATGTGTCAACTTTGCATGCTCGAAATGGAAGGAACAGGTTGCTCTTGCTGAAAGTCTTGGTGGCCTCGCTTCAAGAAACGAGAAACCCCCACAAAGCATAGAAGACAAGGATTTCCAGGAAAGTGGTAACAAATTGGGAATAGCAATAGCTATACATGGCAGAAGCAGCAGGAAGGCGATGACGAATTGGCAGATGTAAACTCTACGGGCGAGGATTAACAGGAAAGTGGTAATAGATTAAAACGTCTCGACTACCTATAGAAACATGCAGCAGGAGGGAAAGGATAAAGAATTAGGACATGTCAATGAGTATACAGAAAAAGATCAGCAGAAAAGCATTAATAGACTGGGACATCTTAATTATAGGTAACTAAATGTAATGATTAGTAGGGATGCAATCATTAAGCAGAGTATTAATATTGACTAGATGCTCCAGTCTAGCAGATGCAGACATATGTACATGCACGCCGGGTTGTAAATGGATTTCTCCCATGGCCTTGCTTTACTTTAAAATTCCATCTCGACACATGCGATCCTATGGTAACAAAAGGAATCGTCTCCCTCCCGCAGGCAAAACTCTGGCGGCAATAAGGCGTCCAATTAACAAGATGGCCATTTTGATCCGATAGACACGTTATTCTCTGTCTATACTGCCCTCAGGCGAGGTTCATAGGTAGATAGACAAGACAGATAGGTACAGGTAGTAATATTACTCCCCGCCTAACCTTAGTACCTAGTAGTTATAGACTACTTCTCCAGGCAAGCTGTCTCCAAAACCAGCCCCCAACCAAATCTCATGCTCCTTTACATTCCGTATACGCAAAAGCAATGAAAATAACTTTGCACAAGCGGTACTCTAGAATTTGGATTCGATTTGTTTATTTTTTTAGGTCTTCAGACGGACATGGAATTAAAACATGTCCATCTGGATCCTTCCCGCCCTCTCTATCTAAAAGCAATGTAGTACAAATAAGGCGACAAGTTTTGAGGAATCATTAAGGGGTTATGTGGTAGAATGCATTGAGCAACAAAAATGGTCAATTGCATCCACTTTATTTGGAGAAGTAGTGGTTCTCATCGACGGTACGTCCACGGATGTACTGGGGCTCTGAGCCGCGAACGTAAATGTCCTCGAAGAGAATGTCGGCCTTGGGCTCAGGGATGGCCATGGCCTCAGCAGCGGCGACCTCCTCGGCAATGTGGCCGCGGGCAGCCTTGTCGATGCTCTTGAGCTCCTCCTCGGTGCTGACCTCCCAGTCGATGATCTTCTGCTTGAGTCCGGCAATGGCGTCGTTGGTTGAGCGCATGCGCTGGATCTCCTCACGGGTACGGTAGGTGGTGCCGGGGTCGGACATGGAGTGACCACCGTATCGGTAGGTGACGTATTCGAGAACCATGGGGCCCTTGTCGGCAGCAGTCCACTCCTTGCCATACTTGACGGCGGCCTTGACGGCGAGAACATCCATACCGTTGACCTTCAGACCGGGAATGTACTGTCCACGCTTGTAGTAGTCGGTCAAGGCAGAAGAACGAGCAGCAGAAGTACCCATACCATACTTGTTGTCTGTGATACCCCTGTTAGCCCTGCATTGCTCCACATGACGAAGAAAAAAAGTCGCCGGTTAAAACTCACTCTCGCAGCCAAACAGAGCAGGAAGGTTCCACAGCTTAGCCATGTTGAAGGCCTCAAAGACCTGACCCTGGTTGCTGGCACCGTCACCGTACAGAATGACACTGGCGTTCTTGCGGCCGGAGTACTTGTGGGCAAAAGCCAAGCCAGCGCCGACAGGGACCTGGGCGCCGACAATACCGTTGCCACCGTAAAAGTTCTTGGCGAACATGTGCATGGAGCCGCCCTTTCCGTAGGAGATACCCTCACGGCGGCCGAGAAGCTCGCCGATGATGGATCGGACAGAGCCGCCACGCATCATGGCGAAACCGTGGCATCGGTAGGCGGTGATGATGTCGTCCTCCTTGGTGATGGCATGCTCGATACCGACAGCAACGGCCTCCTGACCGGTAGACAGGTGGCAGAAACCGCGGATCTTCTTCTCCTTGTACAAGCGATCGGCAGCCATCTCCATCTGTCTGAGCGATTATTAGTACTGTCCACGGCAGGCGGCTCTGAGGGCGCTTGTTGCTGCATACCTGATGGCGACCATCTCGTAGTACATCTGCTTCAGCTCCTTCTTGGTCACCTCAATCGTGTAGGGCGGAGGGTCCAGCTCGTAGGTCTCGAAGCTCTCGTCGCTGAGGGTAACCTGGAAGGGCTCATCATCGGACTATACCGGATGGCTGTCAGCGGCTGTTTCACAACGTTTTCTACAGCCATTGGCCTGCAAAACAAAATCTCCCAATACAATCCACCGCATTGCCGCACATTCCACGCGGGCAAAGAAAAAACCGCATTGAGCATACCTTGGGCACCGACTGGTTCAGAGATGCTGAAGCGGCATCGGTGGTGACGGACCGGGCAGCGACGGCAAAGGCCGCAGGGGCTCTGGTGCGCAGAGGCAGAGCCCGGGGGGCTCGAAGAGCTGCTCTGGAGAACATCGCGACGGCTGGCGTCTCTGGGAAGTTCTGTGGAGGGAATTGGCGAGGGAGATGGCAAAAGAGTCTCTCCAAGCTAACAAGCTTCCGAAATTTCGCAGTGTTGAGGTTGGAGGTTTGATTGTTGGATAGCGCTAGTCCGGGAAGGGACTAGGGCAGGAATCTCACGCGTGGGGCACGAAAAAGAAAAGAAAAAAGGACAAGTACCGTAAATAGTAGGCCCGCAGATACTCCGAGATACCTTCATTGCTCTGGAACTACCCTAGAGCTCAGTCACGTGAACACGACGCGTCTCGTGATAGCCCACCCCAGAACGCGGGACTCAATTAACGCGATTCTGCCTGCTGAAGCGCGTCATGCTATTGACTGGGCTGACCAAAAAGAGCTGTCGGTGCCTAGGCACCACCACTAACTCGACCACTATTCTTCATCATAAATACTGCTCCGTTTTGACTTTTGGTTGCCTGAGATTTCAATCATCTCAATTGATTCGCTGTCAACCGTCTCTTCTCCCATCCAGCTCTATAAGAGCACTCTATAACGTCATGGCTCCGAAGCAGGCGACTCTGGGGTATGTGAAGCCAACACAGAAGACAATTGGGTGTGTTGATGGAAGTGGTGCGGTCAATGCGAGCTTTACTGATCACGGTGGGCGTCCAGGAAGTTCTTTGGGGCGAAGGCTGGTGCGCCGGTAAGGCAGACGACGCTGGCTTTTGCGACCAAGGCGGGGAGCAAGGAGACTGCCAAAGACAAGGCCGAGGAGGATGGATCTGAAGGTGACGCAAGTACCAAAGAAAACTCTGATCCGGAAAAGGGTAAGATGCTTTGTTGCCTCCCTTTGCTCAATCACAATTGACTCATCCTCTAAAGATTCAAAAAAACGGCCGCGATCACCAAAGAAGAACAAGGAAGCAAAGGCAGCGGAGGTTGAGCCCAAAGTAGACGAAGATGAGGATGACGCCCCTGTTACGAAAAGAATCAGACGAACACGGGTCAAGATTGAGGATGACGAAGACGAGGCTCCCCAATCGCCCCCAAAATCGTCAATCAAGGAAGAAGCTCCAAGTAGCCCTACTGCTAAAAAGAAGAGATCGCCGAGTCCCAAATCAAGCCCCAAGTCGAGGTCTCAATCGCCGAAGCCAGCTAAAGCAACAAAGGAGAAGAAAATTGCTGCGGTTGAGGAAGACGGCGACAAAGTTATGAAGGATGAGGAGTCTTCAGAGTCAGCATCAGAGGTCGAGAGCGATACGGAAGAAAAGAAGGCTGTTACTGCCAAGGCGCGCAAAGCTCAACAGACAATGCTCCAGAAACATGAAAAAGACCCTTATCCCGACTGGAAAGCTGGAACCCCTGTACCATACGCGGCTCTTTGCAAGACGTTTTCTCTCATTGAGCTGACCACGAAACGATTGATCATTATGGAGCACTGTTCGCGCTTCCTGCGTCAAGTTATGCGGCTCACTCCCGATGACTTGTTACCTACGGTTCTCCTCATGATCAACAAGCTCGCTCCTGATTATGCAGGCATTGAGCTCGGCATCGGTGAATCTCTAATCATGAAAGCCATCGGCGAAACAACCGGAAGAAGCCTGCAGGTTATAAAAGCCGATCAGAAAGAGATTGGTGATTTGGGTCTTGTAGCTGTGAAGAGCAGATCAACACAGCCAACCATGTTCAAACCCAAGCCGTTGACTGTGAGAGGTGTCCATCAAGGGTTGATGGCCATCGCGACAGTAACTGGTAATGGCGCCCAAGGCCGCAAAGTCGACGGAATCAAGAAGCTTTTATCTTCCTCAGATTCTCACTTGAAGGAAAAGGTAGACATCAACAAGGATAAGGGCGGCCCAAGCGAAGCAAAGTACATTATCCGATTTCTGGAGGGAAAGCTTCGACTTGGTCTGGCAGACAGGACTGTTTTGGTTTCACTGGCCCAAGCCGTTGTAGCCCACGAAGCAGAGGTCAAGGGCCAGATCCCCAGCACCACAGATTTGGAGAACGGGGAGTCTATTCTCAAGACAGTGTACAGGTACGTGCATGATGCGACTTTTTTGGCTGACGAACTCGATGCTAATCCAAGATAGTGAGCTGCCAAGCTACGATGTCATCATCCCAGCTATGCTCCAGCATGGAATTCAAAATTTGAGAGAACACTGCAAGCTCCGGCCCGGTGTGCCCTTGAAACCTATGCTGGCCAAACCAACGAAGGCCATCACAGAGGTTCTGGATCGATTCGAAGG